TGATTCCACGGCTGATAGAAATTCACACTGCCGTCCACTCTCCTCTGTATCACCTGTGATGGGTTTAAATAGAATATATGATTCATAATGAATGTTCTGATGTGTTTAATGATCTAAAGTCACTTTCATACCGTCCATCCTCCTTTGTCTTCATCGTTCCCATCTGAGATCATCTGACAATAAACCCAGACAGGAACATCACCTGCTGGATAGATGGAGTAAATCCCACTGACTGTTTGTCCTGAGTTATAAACATCAGAACAATCAACTGGCATTTCTACTTCCTGACTGCATCCTCTCATCAGAAAAACCACCAGAAGAATGACCAAAAACACCTTCATCTACACGAGACAGAGTCAGAGATAGGAAGAGATGAATGTCACACTGAAATGAAGCTGAAAACATCTCTAAGAATGTAGCTATTGATTAACTCACTGCCATCTTCTCAATCTCTCCTCAGTAAATCACAGCAGAAATTTGTTTTATCTAGACAAAAATTAACAGAAACATTTTCATACTATATGTACTTCGACATTTTTGTGAAAGGTGTACAAACGTCTAAATGTTCTGTGAGGTAAATGAAGAATAAAGCAGAAACTCACCGTTTGTGTTCTTCAGTCTGACACAAACACTCTTTATCTCTGTCAGATTCTCAGGCTCCTCCTCGGAGTTAAAGAAGAAATTTACATTACAAAACCCATATTTTGGAGGCAAATAAAATGCAAGTTATACCTGCAGTCACATGTTGTATTCGCTGTGCTTGTAGTTCATTGGCCACAAATTGCTACTGGTGTATTCTTATTATTGTTAATGTTAATGTTAATGAAAGGAAGACTTTGACATTCCATAGAACTGTTTGGTTGAATGTTGTGAAAATTGGTATGTCGATAGAGGAAAGCCTAATCATTAACCGTAGCAAATTTGGAGTCTCTATCTCAAACACTGTAGCACCACCAATGGGTCAAATAAGCCGCTCACACTAACATGACTAATGTAAGTCAGCGGCTAATTAATTCAGAGTGTGTTATGATTTAATATTGATAGATTCTTAACAATTATTATTCACATGGACACCATACCATATTAAGATGTTAGATTCATAAGATGTTTTTACTGAGACATGATGCAAATAAATAGAAGATTATGAAAATACAGTCTCTTGTATTTTTGTTTCTTGAGGATTGTGAAAACACTGTCACAGCAGAGCTTGTCTCGTGTGTCAGGTCCATATTTAACTGATGGTGATGTATGTAATGATATTCACACACTGTAGACCATGTACATTTCAAGTTTGCTGTGAGGCTGATGATGTACAAATAGATGTTAGCACAACCCGTGACTCTACTATTCCTACCACAAGTTATGAGGTGATGTTTAATTTGCAACTTTAATTCTTTGTTGCAAGCCATTCATTTTGAGCTTCAACAGAGTTTTGAAGTCATGCATTATTACGACATTTTTTTTAGTCTGTTGTTACAGTTGCTGTAGAAGTTATATATTATAGAAATATACGTTTTCTAAATACTTCGGGAATAAAATGTACATGAAATGAATTGATGTTTCATGATTAATTGTAATGTGCCTGTAATATGAAATATATGAATTGATAATTATGAAGGAGTACAAATGTGGTAGATCTAAATATATCTTTCACATAGTTCTCAAAACCAGTATGAAGATGTGCTAGACGTTCTTCAGTCAAAGGGCATTCAAACTTGAGTTACACTGAATAGCTGGTGTAGTGTCCCATTTAGAGTCAAAAACATTTCATGGCCAAATGATAAATATATGTATCAATGTAATATATTATGTGAAAAGTTACTGAATCAAATGTGTTAGATCCCGTCTTCACTAGATCTCTGTCAGGACGAGCCAGAGTTTGGTCTGATATTCAAAGCAGCATCAATTCCACTGCTGTTATTTTGCCAAGCAAATACAATGGAAAAGTGCAGCTTCCCAGCATCGTCTTGTGTTGTAAACATCCTTGAGATTACAATGCACAACACAACATTAAACATAAACAATAGATAATAACAGTAATATAATATGAAAAGTAATGAGTAAATGAAAGTTGATTATATTAACAAATGAGTACATAAAGAAAGATAAAATTGATAAAAAGAGATAAAGATTAGCGTGAATGAAGACGTCTGAAACTATCATCCAAACAAAGTGTTTGCATTCTGAAATATGCAAGGAAAACAAGTAGTGTGCATTAATTTGATACTGCATCCTGATGAACAGTGTTGGGCTATTTCTATTATTTAACATATTTAATTATTGCATTATTTTTTTTTTGGCTTATTGACTACCATTTAACCACAGTTTTACTACAAATACCATGGTTAAACTATAGTTAGTATTTTTTTAAACTATGGTTAATTTGTGGTTATGGTTTAATTATAGTAAGTTCCTTGTTTTGAACAAATCGGTCATTGCTTCAGAATAAACCATATTTGCAAAAAACAAACACACACACACACATATATATATATATAATATATATATATATAAGCCCAAATACCTTATAAAAACATTGTGGGAACATTGTTTTGAAGTGTTTCTAAAACACTAAAAATGTTCTGTTCATGATTATAACATTATTTAAAGGTTATAAAAATGTCTCTTACAGCGTTTTACTAACTTCATCTTCACCCAAAATATAACGTTATTTAATATTCTATTCTAAGAACATTACAGTTTTCTTCTCATGATTAGAACACTATTTAACTCTTTCCCTGCCATTGACAGAATTGTCTACCGCGCCGTGTTTTCACTGTTATTCAGTAGGGGGCGCTATTACACACCTGAAAGAGTTATGAATCACACAGATGAAGAAGCAGCAGAAACAAGCGCTCACGTATGTAAGCGGATGCATATGTAAAATAACGCAATCCTCAAAACATCAACAGCCTAACGTTAGCGAATGAAATGCCGACCCAGGACGTGGTTTAGGACTGTGAAGCTTTGGATGGAAGCGATCTACTCCATCTGTGTTTTGATCATCGTTCTGAATCCGATTCGGACGTAGTCTTTGACAAAAATGCCATTTTCTCAGCTTTTTGTTCAAAATCACTTACCAACATTCAAAGGTTAATCAAAAAGAATGCATGAAGCTAGAATAAAAGTTTTTTGTTTGTTTAAAAGCAGAGGCTCTGTACTTTCCTTTAACATATTGCATGTTCAGATTTTCATACAACAAAACATTCTGGGGGCCATGACATTTTTGTGAAAATGATCAAAAATGCTGGTGGTGACTGGCAACTTATTTTAAAAAAGTCCAGTGGGGAAAGAGTTAAAGGCTACAAAAACGCTTCTTAGAACATTCAAGTTCCGAGAATCTTGATCTCAGAACGATTTCTCTCAACGTTATGACAATGTAGCCTATATCAAATATTCATAAAGTTATCAGAACGTTCCATTAACATTTCTTTAAGAGCGTTTTGTCCGAACACTAAGTGAAAGTTGTGAGAACGTTCCCTGTTAGCTGGGCTCCTGCTGAGACTCGTTTAGATCTGTATGAATCTGCACAGCGGTCGAAGCTGGTTTATAGGGTTAGGGTTGCAAACCAGCAAAGCTTAGCTGGTGAAGATGGTTGACCAAGGAAGTTAAAGGGATAGTTCACCCAAAAATGAAAATGTGATGTTTATCTGCTTACCAACAGGGCATCCAAGATGTAGGTGACTTTGTTTCTTCAGTAGAACACATTTGATGATTTTTAACTCCAGCCGTTGCAGTCTATCAGTCGTATAATGCATGGCAATGGTAACAAAATCTATGAGAGTAAAAAAAACATGCACAGACAAATCCAAATTAAACCCTGCGGCTCGTGACGACACATTGATGTCCTAAGACACAAAACGATCGGTTTGTGCCAGAAACCGAACAGTATTTATATCATTTTTACCTCTAATACACCACTATGTCCAACTATCTTTGGGCGCACGCACGGCATCCGGTGCGTGAGGTGTGTACATTTTCATTTTTGGGTGAACTATCCCTGTAAGCTAGTTAAGCACCAGCACATCAGCATCCCCTGCTGGAGACTTCAGTACAAACAGAGGCGAACCACAACCGAAGTGGGGGCCCAAGGCAAAATTAAAAGATGAGGCCCTTCTAAAAGATTATTTTGTTAATATATCTTCGTTACCTAGATATGTATTTATACAACATACAACAAGTAGTTAAAACATATAATAGAACATAAATTTTAAACCAGTGTGGCGAGCGCGTCCTCCCGCCAGTAGGGGCGCTGTGACGCTGATGGCGCGTCCCGGAAGTGGAGGTGAAGCTGCTGGAAGAGTTTGGAAACAAACTGGCGATCAGCTGAATGAGTGTCAATCCTCTGGCAGACAGACTGAGATTGTTGACGGCTCAGTGATGAGGATGATGATGATGATGAAGAGTGCGATGATCTTCATCCTGACGGCGTCAGAGAGCAGCGCGAGGATCCACCAGCTCAAGCTCAAGGTCTGTCACTCTTTATTTACACAGAATCAACTCGTTTATGCTTCTTCTCTTTTATTACACTTCCTTAATCAATTATTCAACATGTTTTCAACTTTATCTCGTTTATTCCGCTTATCTAATTCAGTTAGCTTCTTTGATAAATTATCATGTTTATTTAAGCTTTTATTTCACATAGCTGATGGTTTATCTCATTTATGTAATGATTTATTATTAATAAAATGATGAATTAATTTATTAATTTTCTTAAGGCAATGTTTAATTTATCTATTTTTTTTCACTTATCTAATGATTTGCTATTCATAAAATGATGTATTTATTTATTTGTCATTCATTTAACTTGTTTAACGTTTTATCTCCTTTATTTAAGCTTGTGGTTCACATATAGCAAAATTTATATTATATATTTCACTTACGCAATCATTTATTTTAGATAAATGGTTAATTTATCTAGTTTACTTCACTTATGTAATGATTTATTATTCACAAAATAATTAATATATTAATGGATCGCATTTATTTAACTCATTTAATGATTTATAGCATTTTTTTTTAGTTTATATGAGCATTTATCTCTTTTATTTAAGCATCTGTTTTACATATCAGATGTGTCATTTATTCCACTAATGTCTGTAATGTCTTATTATGGTTATTTTGTGAATTCACATATGTACAACGGTAACTGGAAACATTATGAACACTTTATGTCACTTTACTTATTACATGCTGAACGGCTCTCTTTTTTCTCTCTCAGAATGAGACGCGGTTTCTGGTCCATTTGAACTCGTTGGGTTATTTTGCAAATGGCACTCTGGAGCTCCATCTCGCGTCTCTGAAGCTGCGGCAGGAGAAGGGTGGCTCCGGGAAGGTGTGTGTAGAGTGTGTGTGTGTGTAGAGTGTGAGTGTGTGTGTGAGTGAGTGTGTGTGTAGAGTGTGTGTGTGTGTAGAGTGTGAGTGTGTGTGTGAGAGACAGCGTGTGTGTGTGTGAGAGACAGCGTGTGTGTGTGTGAGAGACAGCGTGTGTGTGTGTGAGAGACAGCGTGTGTGTGTGTGAGAGACAGCGTGTGTGTGTGTGAGAGACAGCGTGTGTGTGTGTGAGAGACAGCGTGTGTGTGTGTGAGAGACAGCGTGTGTGTGTGTGAGAGACAGCGTGTGTGTGTGTGAGAGACAGCGTGTGTGTGTGTGAGAGACAGCGTGTGTGTGTGTGAGAGACAGCGTGTGTGTGTGTGAGAGACAGCGTGTGTGTGTGTGAGAGACAGCGTGTGTGTGTGTGAGAGACAGCGTGTGTGTGTGTGAGAGACAGCGTGTGTGTGTGTGAGAGACAGCGTGTGTGTGTGTGAGAGACAGCGTGTGTGTGTGTGAGAGACAGCGTGTGTGTGTGTGAGAGACAGCGTGTGTGTGTGTGAGAGACAGCGTGTGTGTGTGTGAGAGACAGCGTGTGTGTGTGTGAGAGACAGCGTGTGTGTGTGTGAGAGACAGCGTGTGTGTGTGTGAGAGACAGCGTGTGTGTGTGTGAGAGACAGCGTGTGTGTGTGTGAGAGACAGCGTGTGTGTGTGTGAGAGACAGCGTGTGTGTGTGTGAGAGACAGCGTGTGTGTGTGTGAGAGACAGCGTGTGTGTGTGTGAGAGACAGCGTGTGTGTGTGTGAGAGACAGCGTGTGTGTGTGTGAGAGACAGCGTGTGTGTGTGTGAGAGACAGCGTGTGTGTGTGTGAGAGACAGCGTGTGTGTGTGTGAGAGACAGCGTGTGTGTGTGTGAGAGACAGCGTGTGTGTGTGTGAGAGACAGCGTGTGTGTGTGTGAGAGACAGCGTGTGTGTGTGTGAGAGACAGCGTGTGTGTGTGTGAGAGACAGCGTGTGTGTGTGTGAGAGACAGCGTGTGTGTGTGTGAGAGACAGCGTGTGTGTGTGTGAGAGACAGCGTGTGTGTGTGTGAGAGACAGCGTGTGTGTGTGTGAGAGACAGCGTGTGTGTGTGTGAGAGACAGCGTGTGTGTGTGTGAGAGACAGCGTGTGTGTGTGTGAGTGTATAATTACATGCAAGTAACCCTAATCCTAACCATATAGTAAGTACATATAGTTAGTTAATATTAATCAGTACTTTAATGTATAATTACACTGTTACAAGGGCACCTTAAAATAAAGTGTAACCAATTACTCTTATAGTTATTGTTATCCTTATACTTATTGGTATAGTTATCTTTAATAGTTATTGTTACCTTTATACTTGTCAGTTTAATTAGTTGTAATTGTAGTTATCAGTGTAATTATCTTTATAGTTATTTTTGTAGTAATCAGTATAATTATTTTTATAATTATCGGTAGTTATCGTTACAGTTATCGTGTAATTATCTTTATAGTTATCATTAGTTATGGGTATAGTTATCATCAGCTATCATCAGCTATCATTACAGTTATCTGTATAATTATCTTAATAGTTATCTTTAGTTATCGGTATAGTTATTGTCAGTTATCGCCACAGTGATCAGTGTAATTATTGTTATAGTTTTATAAATTACTCTTATAGTTATTGTTATCCTTATACTTATTGATATAGTTATCTGTATAGTTATTGTTACCTTTATACTTGTCAGTTTAATTATCTTTATAGTTATCGGTGTAGTTGTTGGTTATCGTTGTAGTTATCAGTGTAATTATTTTTATAGTTATTTTTGTAGTAATCAGTATAATTATTTTTATAGTTATCGGTAGTTATCGTTACAGTTATCGGTGTAATTATCTTTATAGTTATTATTAGTTATGGGTATAGTTATCATCAGCTATCATTACAGTTATCTGTATAATTATCTTAATAGTTATCTTTAGTTATCGGTATAGTTATTGTCAGTTATCGCCACAATTATCAGTGTAATTATTTTTGTAGTTATCTTTAATTATCAGTGTAATTATCTTTTATAGTTATCGTTGTTATTGTTACAGTTATTAGTGTAACTATCATTATAGTTTTCAGTTATAGTCACAGTTATCAGTATAATTATTGTTATAGTTATTGATACCAATGTTGTTTTTGTTTGTTTGTGTGTATATTTGTTTGTTTCTAAATACACAATGTACGTTCTCGTGCAGCTGCCATGAACCTAGAGAAGTTAAAGCTCTTCAGACATTACTGTGTGATGGTGAGACATTCGTCTTTATTCGCATCTAGGATAAGATCACTTGTGCCAGTCAGGCACAAGAACAGTTTTTTCCCACAAGCTATATTCAGTCTGAACAATTAATCTTTCATAATTATACATCGTCCATCACAACTAACATAGTATATTTATATTAAACTGCACACTTTGTAAATAACATATCTGCACACTAATAAACATATATGTACATTTATCTAAACAATTACATTTTTTCCTATACTTCTATTTCTGTATATAGTACATTATTCAATTTTTCTTTTTTTTATTATATTAGTGTTATATTACATCCCTACTGTGTTATTCCTATGTATGTCTGCACTATCATGTATGTCTGCACTATGTTTGTACTTTCTTCTACACTGGAAGCTCCTGTCGTCAAGTCAAATTCCTTGTGTGTGTAAACATACTTGGTAATAAAGCTCTTCTGATTCTGATTCTGATTCTGATTTCTCTAAGGTGGACAACTGAAAGCTGTTACTCTGTCCTCAGATCGTGTGTTATATCTACTTCACGCGGATCATCGCGATACTGCTGAAGCTCACGGTGCCGTGGCAGTGGTGTCAGGAGGTAATCACACTAACCCTGCTTCAACATAACATGATAGCATAAATAAGATATGTAGATGGCGTTTCAGGGCTCCAGACTAACATTTGAGGGCAGTGGCACCAGCGCCACTAAGTTCTGCAGATGGTGGGTTGCATTAATAAGAGCAGTTACTCATAATATTACATGTTTATTTCTTGGTAAGACACATTTGACAGTAAAGCACTGAGCTTGAGTTGATGCATACAAAATGTACTTTTTAACAACAGTAACGTGCAACATTTTTATATAGAAAATTAATATAGGCTATTCTTCTTGCATTAAATGTACCATTATTCTCATAGTATTATATGTAACTGACCGATAACTTCAGTGATAATAAAAGGAACACTATGTGATTGTTGCAAATTGAGGAAAAGTTTGTTTTTCGAGGCACTTTGTGACTTCTCTCTTACTTAAAGTGCAGAACTCTGACAAAATCTGATTTCTTAATGATTTGATATTTTATAATAGTGATTTCATAATTTGTGATTTTATAATTTCTAAATATAAAGGAAAAAGTAGAAATGAATGACTGTTATAATGGTGATTTAATGTATTTTTTTTATTTTACAAAAGTGTTTGTTCACCACAGTATATTTTGGTCATGCCATTAAAAATAACATTCAAATTGGATCATTTAGGAGCCTTAATGTGCTGGAAACAGTTGTGTGAAATGCTTGTAAGTCATTGAAAATTGCTTGAATTTCTCTCTCAAAAAGACTGTACAAACCCTGAAATGAATAATGTAATAACATTTGACTATTTCTGCCACAACATCATGGTTACTAGTGCTGTCAAACGATTAATCGCAATTAATCGCATCCAAAATAAAAGTTTTTGTTTACATAATATATGTGTGTGTACTGTGTATATGTATTATGTATATATAAATACACACACATGCATGTATATATTTAAGAAAAATATTTTGTTTATATATTAAATATATTTATATATGATATAATTTATATGAATATAAATATACACATGCAAATACATGTAAATATTTTCAAAATATAAGCTGTATCTGTGTGTCTTTATATATACATAATATATACAGTACATGCACATACATTATGTAAACAAAAACTTTTATTTTGTATGTGATTAATCGCGATTAATCGTTTGACCGCACTAATGGTTACAGTTAGTGTTACTGCTTCTGGTTTTCTATGTCAGCGCCATTTGATCTATAACAGATTTCTGTGCAGAATTTGAATGCATCTCACTAGATCTCACAGCAACCATTATTAATTCTGCGGCGAATTCAAATGCTTCTCACTGGATCTCGCAGTGCTGTGCTGTAGCAGTGTCGCGGAATAAACGTTGGTTCCCGAGTAAAGCTGTTCTGAGCTCAGACAAGTTTGTTTGCGTCGCGGTCCGAACTGATAAACGCTCAAACGAGAAGCGCGGTTTTGTTATGCTTTTGTTTCGTTTGCCGTTTGATGTTTCTCATATGCAGCGCTTATGATTCGGACAACGCGGTGGTCGTGCCAGTGTGACCGCTCACAAAATTTAGTCGCACCGGCAGAAAAAATGGTCGCAGTCTGGAGCCCTGAGTTTGTAGCACAGAAAACCGTTCCGACTCAGCCATAACTGGATGTTTCGTCTTTTCTCTCCTTGTGTTTGCAGTTTTTAGTGGAGGTTTCTACTCTGATCTTCTTCGTCTTGACGGGATTCAAGTTCCGTCCGGCATCAAATAACCCGTATCTACAGCTGCCTCAGGACGAGGAGGACCTGGAGATGGATGAAGTGTAGGTCTCTCTCTCTATCTCTCTTTCTCTCTCTCTCTGTGAGAGGTTCAGTGTATGATATCGTTCCTCTCGCACACAGTATAACAGAATCGGGAGCGCTGGAGGGCATCCACAAGGGACAAGAGAGAGGTTGCGTTGTGAGTGTCATATCAAAGAGGGCGGAGCCTGGACTCTCAAACTCCTCCCCTTCCTGAGGTTGTTGTCACGGTAACCACAGACAGACTCACTATGCAAGTGGAAAATACGGAATGGAAAAAAACGTGTGAGAATAAAGCGCAGCAGACACGATTTCCGTGAGAATTAGCTGATTTTCCCGTACGGACTCTGGGATGGCGGTGACACGGACTGAATCTCTTGCTTTGGTTTACAGTAATGATGTGGTCACTCTGCTCTATACGTTAATTTGTTCGCTCATTTATTCCTTCATTCCAAAGATGTACAATCATTATACTGGATGTGTGACGATAATTTGATTTGTTTGATTTTAGCCTTCTTTTATTTCCTAATGTCTTTATTATTTAACCGAAGCAGTTTGATGCTGTTGTTTGTATATCATGGTTTTTTCTGTTAATTTTTGATCCGACGTCTGGAAGCGATTCTTCTCTAACAGAACCTTAAAACTAGCGTAAATACGGCGCACTGTAACAGATAAGACAGTGCTTCGTAAAACAGGTTGGTTATCGTGACACCGTCACCAGGTAAGCGAAAGATTTAGAGAACGTTCATCATGTGTCCTTTTCCTCAGATGGATATATTAAAGATTTTTATAAAAAAAAATTCTGGTGTTGTAAATTTCTTTAAAGCGCACTGGACTTAATGTTTATGTTCTGTCCTGGATGAAGCTGGGTGTTCCTGAGAGGTTCCCAAAACAATGTTATCAGTCATGCGACACACCAATAACAATTTTTGTCTTTTGCTTCTTTGGAAAAGGTTGCGCTTTATTTTGTGATATTTTACTCATGGCTCCATCTACTCTGTAATAGTCCCTCCTTTATTTAACAACTATAAATATTGATATACAGTTATAAATGAAGGACTAACCACTGCTACACCGTGTATTACTAACGCCACAACTGCATCGCGACCGTTAAAACTAACGGTCCACACTGAAAGCGCGGGAAGCTTCGCAGCAGTTTAGATTTGAAAACCTCTCCAGAATGCCTCCAGTTTCCCCCTCAGTGCTTTTAAACTGGCTAATATTTCCACAAGCTGTCAGAGAAATAATTTTTTTCCTGCTTGATTAATAGCTGGTTTATCATGCTGATTGTGTTCAAGTTTGAAATAAATCAAATGACTTGAATATCGACTCGTTTCTTCGGTGTGTAATGTGAGGGAAGAGACAGGAGTTTGTATATTACCGCTTCAGCGCGAGCTCCGTCCTCCCGTGACCGTGTTCCGGTGCTGATGTGATCCTCCTCGCTTCATCTCCGCCGGAGTCACGGATAAACATGTCAGCCACGATGTAAGTATGTGAAGTATTCTGTACGGTTGGATTTGTGACGCAAATACGCGTGTAAGGTTTTAAGGATTGCTGTAATTCTAGGAGCTCGAATGGACTGAAATCTTAGTTTTTACTGCATCTGCAGTAATTTAATAATAAATTAATATCAGCCTAATTTTAATTAAACTGGGCTTGATGATGTTTGAGATGAATATTCATATTTTTAAGAGATCGCTCACATTGCTGATGGTGTTTCGGGTTTAAGTTTCTCCGCAGTGCGGCAGGGGAAAACTTTAAGGCGTCTCTGTGTGTGTGTGTGTGTGTGTGTGTGTGTGTGTCTCTCTGTGTGTGTGTGTGTGTGTGTGCACTTAACCATATTTTGGTGACAAATGTGTATCCAGAACTGAGCTAAACCTGACAAATCTCCCAAAACTTCTTTTTGGGGACGTCCTCATTTGTAAAAATGGTATAAAATGTTATGTTTAGGATACAGTATTTATCAATACCTGTCTATAATACAAAAGAAGAACAGCTGGGTAAGTGTGTGAGACAGAACCAGAAGCATCTTTGCAGGGACTCTGCATATGACACAGCAGAATTCAATTCCCTTTTCTCTTTATTTATTTTACTTTAGTTTCATAATGAATGCATTTGAGTCCCTCATGTCATTCAAACCCCGACAAGTTTCTTTCTTCAGTGAAACACAAATGATATTTTGAGAAATGTCTCAGTGTTTATTGTCCATACAGTGGAAGTCAATGGGGTCCAGTGTTGTTCGGTTCCTCAGCGTTCTTCAAAATATCTTTTGTGTTCCTCTGGTCTGGAAAAAGTCAGGTTTTTACAGTTATCTTAATAGTATTGCAGTGATGCCAACAGAGCTGGGTAGTAATGTACATATAATCTGGATTATGCATTCAAGTACTTGTAATTAGATTGAATTACATTTTAAAATACGTGTAATCAGACTACAGTTGCTCTTTATGCATTACATGGTTACATATTAATCACACAATAGCAATAAACTATTCATAATTCATTGATTCTCCATAATTCCTCTTTTTCATCTTTTAAATTTTCCTATCTTAAATAGTCTACCTAAAATGTGTGATGTAATGGATTACGTTACTAACTACAATTTTTGTCATGTAATTTGGAATCAGTAATGGACTGCAATTTGTAAGTAATTCTCTCAGCTCCGCTAATACAGTCAAACCAAAATATATTCAGACACATTCAACATTTATATTCACATTATATCACAGTGTATTCGCTATAGTTTAGAAAATGGTAATACAATATAACAAGAACTCAGAGTTAAACTGCGTCAAAACAAATTCAGCTTGATAATGTCAGATAACTTTGATGGAAAGGTAAGTAAGTAGCTGTCAGCTGTTAAATGTAAGTACACTATTAGATAATACCAATTTAGCTCAACCAATTACCAAGCAATGCCTTCAGTCTGGGCACTCTTAAAAATAAAGGTCTCAAGCGAGTGTCCCAAGGGTAGATCACATGAAAGTTGAATAAATAAGCTTTCCATTGATGTATGGTTTGTTAGGATCGGACAATATTTGGCTGAGATACAACTAAAACTGAAAATCTGGAATCTGAGGGTGCAAAAAAATCTAAATATTGAGAAAATCATCTTTAAAGTTGTTCAAATGAAGTTCTTAGCAATGCATATTACTAATCAAAAATTAAGCTTTGATATATTTACGGTAGGAAATTTACAAAATATCTTCATGGAACATGATCTTTACTTAATATCCTAATGATTTTTGGCATAAAAGAAAAACGTATAATTTTGACCCATACAATGTATTGTTGGCTATTGCTACAAATATACCCCAGCGACTTAAGACCACTTTTGTGCTCCAGGCTCACATTTTGCTATCCACACTTACATAAATGAACTATAGTGTCCTGCACCCACTAGTAAAAAGATATCCAACATTAAATCTGATGTGTGAATAATTCCTGGTCTGACTGTATCTAACAGAATCAGTCTGTATGGTTTCTCCTCAGGCGTCTGATCGGCGTGACGCTGCTGTCTCTGCTGTCTCTGGAGTCTCTGGCCGTCAGCAGTGTGGGGTCAGATATTACACTCATTATTAGCCCTCTGGAGGACCACAGAGGGACAGTAACGTGTGTGTGTGTGTGTGTCTCTTACAGCCCCAGTAACTCGTCCAGCAGCTTCTGCAGCGAGTCTAGAGAATGTCTTCAGTTCGATCTGCTCTGCCGGACAGACGAGTACGAGGTCAGGCGCTCCTCGTGTGTGTGTGTGTGTGTGTGTGGCGTGTGCGTGTGTGTGTTTCTGGACTGCGCTGAGCTGAAGTGGTGCTGCGGTTTATAACCCGAGTGTGTTTGCAGGTTCGTCGTTACTCAGCCACGCGGTGGGTCTCTACAGACGCCGAGGCGTATTTCCTCGGGGTCGGAGCCGCCATGGCCTTCAGACGCCTCTATCATTACATCTCTGGAGCCAATGAAGAGGGTTTCGGAATTTCTTAATTGCCCAAAATGTGTGTGTGTGTGTGCAGGTGTGAGGTTTGAGATGACGGCTCCGGTGCTTGTTGAAGTCCCAGAGGAAGTGAAGATGTGGGAACCGGCGATCTACACGCTCAGCTTCCTGCTGCCATCAGCCTATCAGGAGCATCCGCCCACTCCCACCAACGACAAGGTCAGAGCCACCATCTCTAAACGCCACAGACACGAAAATAGTACTGTAATATTAATGACAGTAGCTTTACACAATAATACATTTGGTTTAATGCTGCTGTTTTGCTGCATTGGTTGTATGTAGTTTTATCTTGGTTTGTTCAAATATTTTTTTATTTGAATATTAAAAAATATATATATTTGATATATATTTAAAATTTGTAATATTTATCTTAATATTTGTTAATATTTTACTGTAGTATTTATAATATTTTTACATACATATTTTAATATACATAGCTTTGAGCATTTTAGCATATCTCAGCATGATTATTTCTATTTTAGCATTTCTATTACTTAATGTTTTTTGTTTTGTTTTGTTTTCAAATGTATAAAAAAACAACAACATAGCTGTATTTCTCTGACATGCCCGACATGGATGTGTATGTGAGGAGTTACGGTGGCTGGATGCTGTCAATCACCTCACGACTCCACGCCCACCTGCTGAGCAGAGCACTGCTGAGAGCCCACGCCCACTTTAACCACACCCACCACTACACTGTGGGCTACGACAGGTGAACACACACACACACTCACACACACACACACACACACACTCTCTCTCACACACACACACACACACACACACACACACACACACAGACACACACACTGGTCATTTTTTGTACGGAGCCCCTAAAGGGACATGGTGGTGGAAAAAAATCGGGGTGGGAGGGAAAAATATTTTTTGCGTTCCCTGAAGAAACTATGTGTTCTCTCGCAAAACCAGTTGAGTTTGGACAAACACTTCCTGTTTATTATACAGCTTGCAGTGGTTCATAAAACGCCTAACACGGCTTAATGAAGATGATGAAAAAGACCAAATATGCTATATTAAGTTTAAAAAATATGTACTGTGTACATGCAAGCAGATGAGCCCAAAATATGAGCTGAATCGCACGATAAGCGTTTTCTCCCCCATAGAAAAGCGCGCTTAACATGGCTTAATATAAAAAACAGTGATAAAAAGCCCAGATTTTATATTTTATTAAAAATATACACTATGAAAAGCTAAGAGTTTTTATAATTTTTTGTCTACGGGGGAGAAAACGCGTGAAACTGCACGTTCTGTTCTGAGTTGGTATTTTTAAATCACCGTCTTCGTTCATTGGCTTAAACGTTTTCTATGGGGGAGAAAAAGCTTAACGTGCAGCACGTTGCGTTCATATTCTGGGCTATTCTGCTTTATTAATAGTAATATTATTAATAAGGTTATTAATAATGTTATCAGTATTTATTATTATTGAATTTGGTCCTCCAATGTCACTGTTTTAAAACTGAACTTTTTAGTAGCCTAATGTTGAGAGTTCTTTACTCTTTACTTTTTATTATTTTATTTTACAAGAGAACTTGCAAAGTCTTGATTTACTACTAATGCGTAAAATAGAAAAAAAAATGCATAAACGCATCTCCGACGGTTTTGTCTGTGTAGCCTAAGAATAGGCCTATGTCTTGCAATAACGGTTTTTAATATATTCTATTCAATAACATTGTTAACTGTTTTTATTTATAACATCTGCTGCTTTGCTTCTGTGAAAATGAATAGAGACATCAGCCTTAAACTTTGTTTTTGTCATTTACATCAGTTATATTTGTATAAAATACACTATATATTTTTGTGTTGTATAAAATACACTATATATTTTTGTGTCAGTACATTAATTGCACATTTGAGCAGCATTAGTAAACTGTAAATATAAAGAAATGCCAAATCACATGCAGGTTTTTCAGACCGGAGACCATAATAGAGTAATAATTTATTTTATTATGATATGAAACGTCCAATTTTTTTTTTCAATAATGTTTTTTTTTAAGTTTTGCAAGAATTTCCTGACACTAAACTTTTTATTAGTTGTCATAGCAAGTGATTTTAATATTGGATGGCTTACTTTTTATAAGATGACTGAAAATTTTACTTGAATTCGTAGTTTATTCTTACTTTTGGAAACCTAATTGTTTTATAATTACTATTATTATTATTATTATTATTATTTCTGTTGTCTCTAGAAGTAGTAATTTTGATAATAGTCAATAGAAAAAATATAAGCACACACACATTGTTTGTCCACAGAATAATTACACATTATTAAATTAAAGTGTTTTAGAATGTCCCAATACCATGCCTTGAACAAGCACTGACTGTATTTCTTTATATTGAGTCCAAGTTAAAATAAACACACTCTATGAACCGCTCCATTGTGAACATACGAGCTGTATGAACCACTGCCAGCTGTAAACAGGAAGAGTTTGTCCGAGCTCAACTGGTTTTGCGAGAGAACGCAAAGTTTCTCGAGGGAATGTGAACGAAGTGTTTTTTCCTCCCACCTTGAATTGTTTCCACTCACTCCGATTTTTTTCTACCACCATGTCCCTTTAAGGGGCTCTGTATTTTTGACTGAAAAAAAAAATATATATTTTTTTTACTTCACAGAATGTTACAAAACTTGGGAAAGGTTTTGGCACTTTATATGTGAATATGAAAAAAAAAATCATGGACATGATTCAAAAAGGTTAAATGGTCCTAAAAAACAAATGGCTACTGAAAGCTAATTTTTAGTGATATCAACCTCAAATTTGGAGCACAACTTGTTCAGATTTATGGCTTTGATTTTCTTTAAGTTCTAGTTTAAATATACATTTCATGTAAAATTTTAAAGTAGTAAAATAGTATGCCATGTTTTTTTCCATTAAAATAAACTTAAAATTGTATAACTTTATTTTACTTCAGCAACAATCTGCCAAGTGTCTTCTTTTATTTAAAAAAAAAAAAAAAAAAAAGGTTAACAGGAAATGTTTTGTCTTTTTTCCCCCATACAATTTCTATGCATAATTTAAACAGATGTAGGAATGTGCAATCTTTTTGCATTTGAGTGACATTTTAAAAATGACAAAAAGGTTAACAGGTAATAAATGAATCATAACTATTTCATAAATACAATTCAGTACCATAGCCCCCAAAAATACAAAAAAAAAAAATATCAAACTAAAATATAGTACATGAACTTTTTTGAAATAATAATAATAAAACCTAAACAAAACCAGAGGGTTAATAATTTTCCGAAACAAGATTTCAGTTCACGTCACCAGTCCTCCTGCGATATTTTTTCCTTGTTGAATCGGCTGTTTCTCATGGCTACTTTTTATTTCTACTACTTAATTATTTTTTTTAAGAGGTTGCATGATAATTAAAATAAGTATAAAATTAAAAATGAACAAAACAGTCCTACTATCTTAATTCATGTTTGTGGTCTTCTTGTGTCTGATTCATTGCTGCGTGTTATTCCAAATAACGTTTTCCTTGTTGTTTTCAGATTACAGAAGTAAAAAATTAGTTTCATGACAACTTTATTTCTATTTTTTTTACTATATTTATTAGGGCTGGGTAAAAAATATCGATATCTCTAATAATAATCGATTCTCAGTTTTACGAAACGATATAGATTCTTAAATGAATCCCAAGAATCGATTAGTCTAGTCTGTTTTCAGTTAATGGATGGAACATTGAAGGGCACTTCCCATCCAATAAATCGCAATAAGCATTGTGCTTTGGTGCTTTTAATATGAAACAAAGTCTCAGATTTAAAATTCTGTCCATTGTATTGCAAATCGCTCAATCAGTGTTTCAGCCGCGCAAAGACGTCAATATAACGGCTTGTAAACAATGTCACGTAACGTCACATTTACCTCAGAAAAACATATTCGGTGACCATAAACTCATTAGTCAGATAGAAAAATAAACTATAGAGAGGAGAATTTTGCTAAATATATGCACCATGTAACATATTCATTATAAATTTTACTGTTCTTCAATGTTTAATTAGTTTTTTGATGACAGCCACCATTTAAATGTGTATATTTAAAAAAACGAAATGTTATGTAATTGTAACTTTTATTATAAAAACTTAATTGTGTAATTTAAGCAGTTGTAGCCTATAGCCTAAAAAAATCAGCCAGTTTTAACCTTCACTATTATAGTAATGTAGCACCAACTGACTCTCATGTATATTTTACAGCATTAGTTGAAAGATTCTTTTTTCCTCGAGAAAATTTTGCATGTGTACCGGATATATATCCAAAATAATCGAATCTAATCGAATCGCAAGCTTGTGAATGAGAATCTAATCGAATTGTGAAATTTGTGTCAAAACCCAGCCCTAATATTTATGATTTTTTTTTTCACGGAAATCTTGATACATTAACTGCTAACTTTATTTCTTTGCGTGTTTTAGTCCTCTGAAGCTGCTAAACAGGCATAATGAGGTGTGGTACATGGTGGAGGGAGATCC